GAAGAGTTTAAAAGCCGTATACCGATAGCCGTTTTCGAAAGACATAAAAAGTACCCTGTAATGAATCCGGACGAAATAATGAAGGGAAAACGGAAGAAAACAAAATATATAACTGGAGGGAATAATTAAATAGGAAGTCGCTTATCAATGCCGATATATTGTTGAATCATCCTGATTACTTCCCTTCTTGATTAAGAAATACTAGTAGCAGATTAAACCGAACGATAAGGAATTTACGAACATTTGAACTTACCCCTCAAGATGATAGTAAATCCTATGTAAATCAGATAGACGATATAGTCATACAAGAAATATATAGAGGAAGTAGATTAAGTATATTATAATCGTAATAGAGAACAAGGATTTTGGAGTCCTTATAAATACCCCTTAGAAAGAAAATAAAGAAAGAATTTTGTTTAGAAAAAGCGAAACTACGTCATAACAAGCGGAACTGGAGCCGATTCACTTCGATGCCGCATCTCTATAGAATTATAGAAGTTATATTCTATCATTAGTAGATTGTTTCATTCTGGAAATATTGAAGGTGTTAGATTTATTTAGAAAAAAATATTAGGCAAATAGTTACTAGCTGTTCAACTAAATGGGATAAAATTTTTCTTTTCATTGTATTAAGAAAAATGGAAGATGATAAAAATTTGAAGATAAGGGAGTTCCCCTTTATATTATAACAATTAAAATATTTTCAACAGGTGGAGAACACTCTCCGGAAATTATAAAAACAAGACGAAGCTCATTTCTCAAGAAAGCTTGCTCACACTTTCCAATAAGGAGATTAGACACGAAGATGAAGTCCTCGATTACATTCATCTTCCAAATTTGCATCTTGATCAACGTAAAATGGAGCTATAACGCACAAGAAGTAAACGAATTCGAGAAAGGTGTCATTTTCATTCACAAAGAGAACTTTTTAATGACATCTAGCCATTGGACATTGATCCATGATTTCGATTTCGATCATTTTGATCTACAAGTAGAGTTTTTAACACAATCTCTCGAATCTTTAAGAACCATGATCGTAAACAGAGAGCGAGCATCAACCGAGAAAAGAAAGGATCAAGCGAGACGGATCTTACCTACAAATGGATACGAAATACTTATATCATCTTTCTCGAAATACAAAAGAGATTATTATAATTTAAAGGGATTAGTTACACTTGATGAAGAAAGTAGAAAGAGAAGAGGATTAATCGACGTAGGAGGAAAAGCATTGAAGTTTTTATTCGGAACAGCTACATCCGAAGATATCGAAGTTTTAAATGGAGAAATCACAAACATAAAACGTATTAATAAAGGTATAATTCATTTAGTACAGTCACAAGCGACTCTCCTAAACGATACTTTGAGAATAAGTAAGAACAACAGGCAGAAAATAAATAATTTGTCAAGAAGACAAGATTCCTTCGAGAACTTACTAAAAATATATCGATATGATTTAGCATTTGAAACTATCACGAGAAATATAGAATTTGCGATGCAAGAATTTCATACACAAATAATTGAATTAAGAGAAGCTATTGACGTTTTAGAGCAAGGAAAATAAAGCTCCTATTTTATCTCAAAGGAAGTGATGTATCGTACGTTACGAGAAATACAATCACAACTTCCAGAAGATTATTCATTGATAGAGCAAGTCAAAGCTGACACTCTCTTTAAATTTTACCAGTGGATTACTGCAGTTGCTATCGCACTTCCAGGAAAATTAAGAATTTTCGCAAAAATGCCATTGAAAACGCCTAGTGGATATTTGATTACCTACATATATTCCTGCATTGAAAGCTTATGCATATTTTAAGACTGAATACCCCATTTTAGCATTGTCAATGGATCATCAATCGTACATGTTGTTACGTCATCACGAATTGGCTGCTTGCCAAATATCACAGTTTGCTGTTTGTTCACCGGACGTTCCGATATTTCGAGCTCCACATCAGAGCTGCAAATATTCTTTATACATCGGAAATGATCAGAAGGTAACAGAACTTTGTTCAAAAGAAGTTATAAAGGAATTTTATCCAATTTTTAGAAGAATAGACAAGCAAGGAACATGGGTATTTTCTACACCCTCTACATTAGTATTAGTAGTGAAATGTTCTGCTAAACAATATAATTTGCATTCATTACCTTCTAATATAAGTAAATTGAATAATGTTGGAATCATAAGATTGCCAAATACCTGTATAGGATACCTACCTGGAATTATCCTTACTTCACATTTTCACATGAGATCAACTGTTCACATAGGAAGCAGTCCAAAGTTTATTATACCGCCAATTGAAACAATATTTTCCAAGATGGAATTAGAAGAATTACAAGAGAGTATAATTACTACAGAAAATTCTGAGAAGAATAAAGAGAATTCTAAGAAACAAAAAGATGATGATATTAAGGTAGCAGAAAAATCATACGAGCAAATGAAGAAAGATTTGGATAGATTATTGAAAGAAAATGAAGATCTTTTTATATCAAACACTCCAACAATTCCAATCAGATACATATGGATTATCCTTGGAAGTATAGGAATATTAATCCTACTTATCTGCATATATTATATAGTCAAGCATATTTGTTGGAAACGAAGATTTCAAAAGAGGATCAAGGAACTGTCACAACAGGACATTCCACTTCAAGAAATTCCCCAAAGAAATAATGCAGAAGAAGAAGAAACGGAAATAGTCGAACCTGTTGGAAGATCAACTGAACAAGCTTCAAGCTCAACACAGACAAAGAAGCATTTTGTTCGAACATATCGACTTTAATTCACATTTACTTTTTGAGATGATCATTTCATTCTTGATTGAAAATTTTTGATTATAAAATGATCGATTTTAGTTATATATACCTTTAGTTAGTAAGTACCTTTCCTAATAATAACAAAAAGCTTATTTAAAGGAATGTACACCCCACTCAAATTGATAAACTATAGTGATTGATTAGAATAGACATAATATTATATAGAATAGTCTAGATTGTAAGACTTAGAGTAGTATTGAGAGAGAGAGAGACATTAATAGAGATATGTATTTGTTAAACATACTACCTTTGAAATGAACAATACTTTGATGAAAAGGTCCTTTACCAAGATGGATTTAAATGACCCTGGAGTCATAAAATGCTTAATAAATGCAACCACTTGAACTTTTGTGGTTATGTGAAATGAAATCTTAGCAGAAAAAGAAGTGTGTCAACATACTGGAAGAAGACACATTATATCATTTTCAACTGCAAAGTGAACTTTGAACTTTTAGCAGGTGCTTTTTGAAACAAGAAGACATCACCTGATCTTCTAACATACCTGAATTATTGCAACTATAAGAAGTCAGCCAACAGAGGTGCTGCCATAGAGACTCTCAGCAACAGAGAGGTGCATTCGAAACCAGTGACAGAACTATGTCCACTTTTACCGTCGATTCCAGACGAAGACACTTGTGTTCATTATGTTTATTTTAGTAATATTATTAATCTGATGAATTGTTTATTATATTATTTCCATGTATTTCAATTTTGAATTTAATTTGCATTATTGTATACTTTTATGAATTTATTATTATGTATAACGCAATTTTGAGAAAGAGAGAGAGCAATTCGAACTTATGTATTGCAGTGAAAAATCACGCCTTCTTTAAATGTAGTGTGATTTTTGAAGATAAGGGAGTAATGTGAGATCCGAAAGGCCCCTGGGCCTCATTTGTGAATTTTTATTAATATGTTTAAATTATCGACAAAATATTATTTCATTTTGTGTGAAAAAACTAGTGTTTTAGACGTGGGAAAAATTGATGACAAATGTTATTTCCTTTCATCGAGGAGAACATCCGTTGTTTTTCCCGTATCTGGTTAAAAATCTCGCTCAGATGGGAAATGGCTTACCCCTCATTCATCCCCCTTTCATCCGTTCTCACGAAAGAGTTACTGAACGATGATTGGACGAAATTTTGAAATAAAAGGAGAAATTAGTCAGAATTCGGGGAGTTCTCCGACCAATTTGAAAGTGTCCAGACTCCACATACGTTTTTCTCCTGATGGCCAACGCCCATAACGAAGTTCGATAGATTAAATCCCGAGTCTACATTTAGAAGAAGTGATATCTTTATATTTTGTGCCCGAGTTAATCTCCCATACGAAAGAAAGATGAACCCTATCTACAAGGTGTCCTTTACCTACAGAAACGAAGACGACGACAACTAACAGGTCGTATGTTTAGAATCATTTGGTGAGCTCTCTCTCGAACGCGCATTAGCATAGATTAAGTCGTAATCTTTAACTTGTCGTATATTCGTTGTTATTGATTTTCTGTATTCGTTTGTTTGGATTTATTAAATATACTCTTGTTTTATTTTATAAGTATGTCTCCTCTATTTATTCCGAATCAGATCTCCTACGCGTGTTAATCCGCGTGTAAACAATTGATTAACTGGTGTCGGGAACCTGACAATTGGGATAAAGACCTCACAGTCGAGAATTCCCCTTTTACCTAAATATCACCGCCCTCCGGTCAAAGAAATCTTGACATAAGATCGGATCTTACGATTCGAAACTAAGGATACAGATTTCGGTTAATCTGTGCCGATTAAGTGGTACGAACGATCCTAAACGGTGTTGTACCCCCGGCTGATCTCACATGTACACTCTGTATATAAGAAATTACAATCAATTAAAAAGCTTTTATTATTATTATAATTTTATAGCAACTTTTATTGTTATAAAAATGTGTTAAATATCATAATCAAAAATTGACAGTTTTGACTTAGTTTGCAAAATGAAAGTGTTCTCTGTAAACAGTTAAACTAATACATATCTAAGAACAAAATGGGAATCATCAACATATCAGAACAAAGTCATCTGAAACCAATGTGCATATTAAGAGTTAAGTGATTAATATATGTAATGTGATTTTATTATAGAAATATATCTCATAAAAGAAACTGATTATTTATAAAGTTTTAAAATTATATAACTTGTACTTTATTTTTATTCTGTAGTCTTTATTTTGAAATATCTGGAAATCGAACAGCTTGCAATAGCACTTTTGGGAGTGTGACCAAATTGTTAGGATGCTTAAAAATAATGCGTCTGGAGAGAAAGAAGTAAGCTTCTTACTGTTTTTATTCTTGCTTTTAAGACTTAATTATGAAATTTAAATATAATCAATTACTATTACTCTGATGATAAAAATATATTAAATTATGAAATTTGTTTTACAGTTTCATTAAGTTTAAATAAGTTACATTCAGAAAACAAATGCATAAATCAAAGTTCAACTTTTTACAGAATACAGTGGGTGATCGGTTAACGAACATAATCCATTCCAAGATTTTGTTCGTTATTCGAATTGTTTATTAACTGATTATCAGTTTACCATAGGTTTTTATGGGAATTTGATTAATTCATTCCGGAGACTCCAAAAATAAAAAATGTATATTTTTTTACTACGTTTATTTATATGTAATAATAAAAATACATATATATGCAGTCTTGCATTTTTATTAGTCGTGTTTTTTCTATTTGTGGGGGTTAAAGAATCTGTCCAATGTCGATTGCTTTTCTCTTTTCTTCAGGATTTTTCGGAAGTAATTAATAGTATTGTAATTGTAGAGATCCCCAACCCCATTAACCTTATTCTGGTTTGGATGCCACTAGGATGATTGTTGTTCTCCCACTTCCTCCCACTTCTTCAAAAGATCTTTAGTAGCAGATGTCGACATTGGTCCTCTTTCATCTTCCTCTTTTTCAAAAGAAAACACATCTCGCAAAGTTTCTTGGTATTCTTCTTTTGAGAGTTCTTCTGTCGTCAGATCAGTTTCAGGTTCTATTGTGATTTCTAAAATGCTGTTTATTTCACAGATGTGATTTTCATTACTCCATTAGCAGCTTAAGACTTCTTCATATATCTTTCATAGCAAAGATTGTGCCTACTATAGACCTGTTCAAGCCATACTGCCTAGCAACATCAGACATCTTGTGCCCACTTTCTACCTTGGCTATTATCTCTTAGTTGGTCTCTGTGGTGAGCACAGTTCTTGATACTCCTCTTTTTAGGCTCCATAATATTATCAGTTTCTTTTTTTAAATAAAAAGTTCAGAAAAGCACTTTATAAAATTCAGAGAACAGAAATCAACTAACCCACAAAAAGTTATTTAAATGCAAGGCCTGGATGAAATTCGAAATTAGGTATTAAAATGTTATTGAATATCCAATGGGATAGTTAAACTTTCACCTTTCGTAAATAAACCCAGATGCAAAACTTAACAAGTGCCTGTCTGACAGTCTTGCGAAGACTATAAAAAATTATTTGTCAGAAAGGTAAACAAAAAGCTGGAATTACAAGGGAGAGTTTCAAATTTCGGAGGAATACTATCTGATTGGTATCAGATTGAGCATTGATGTTGACGTTTCCTGCACTCTGAAAGGTTTCAAATTGTTACCTGAAGACAAGGGAAAATCAGTCAGTATTTGTTATTTTCCGTCACTTCTTTTATGTTCGTTCAGTAAAGAGTTTGTTGTCCAATCATAAAAATATTTTGCGAAAGTATTTGTTATCTGATTTGTTTGCTATCTGAACTGTTTGTTAACCGATCACCCACTATATTAATATTCTTTGAACATTTTTCTTGTAAGAGAGTATATTCTTTCTTTAGATAAGACATTATTATTATTAGTTTTATTATTATATATATAAGTGATTATTAAATAATATTTTATCAATCACAAAGAAAATATTTAATTATGTATTAAAGATTCCCTAATTCTGCAAGATTTTATTTGTGTTAATTAAACTACTACTATTCAAATGCTTTTACATTATTTATAATTATAAGAATCTTTGTTATTAAAAGTACATTGTATTTATATTTATATGCTTAGAATAGTCAAACTAACTGAGATGATTAGAAAATGTGTTAATATTTTTATTTAGTTTTGTATTTCTGAAAATCAGTTAATACCAGAAACAGATTAAGTTATCATTTGAAAAGCAAGTAATTTTTAGAATTAACAAATTGAATAATATATGCATAATGTTCACAGGCATTGATTTTTTGATAAATAAAATAAGATGTATGGATTGTACTTTGCTCAAATACTGCAACAGATGTAGACTGCAAACAATGCTCTGTAAAACAAACTTATATGCTGCAATCAATGAAACTGTAAATGGCCTGAAAAGTAATAAGCAATAAAACAAAATAATGAAAAAACAAGTATGCTACTAGTCACCCGGTAATAAGACAAACATTAATTAAAGAAGTGGTCTTATTGTTACCTTGGACAGCTTATTAACATGGAAAATGATGTAGAACTGGAAATTAAAATAATTAAATTGGCATGGATCACATTCAAGAAAATTACCACATATCTTTAAAAATAACATGATTTTAAATCTCAAAAGAAAGGCATTCAACCAGTGTTGTTGTTTTTAACATGCAGCAGAAATGTGGAACCAAAACACTTAATGGAAATTGATAAAGCCACAAAGAAGAATGCTTGGATAAGAAATAAAAGGTAAAATATATGATAGTCCAGATCATATAAGTGGAAATGAGCAGGACATATTAGAAAAATACATGACAATTACACTGGATTGGAAAATAGAGGGGGGGAAGGAAGATAAGAGATGGTGAGAATTTGAGATAAAATTAGAGAATTTTCAAAAATAAAATGGAAAAGTAAGGCAGCACAGCAAGAAGAAGGAAAATTTTTTGGAAAGACTTTTATTTAGAAGAGGATAGATACAGGCTGACAATAATGTATGGATTTTAGTAATATATAATAAATTTAATTAAATAATTTGGATTTATTTTTGAATTAAAAATAACAGGCTAAAAATTTGTCAAAAACTGAATTAAAGAAAATAAGATGTGCATTCTTCTGCTGCATGAGAACAAAAAATTTTCTTAATAAAAATTTACATTTTTTATGAAAAAAGGAAAACTTATTATAAAATCACTTTTATGTTTTTCTGTTCAATTACAGTCAACTTGTGTTAATATGAATCATTAGGGGAATAGTAGTTAGTTTGCTTTACCAAAAGTTGGTATTAAAGAGTTAAAGAGAGGTCAAGACTAAGGTCGTATAATTTAGGGAGTTAAGGAGGGAAAAAAAACAGTATTTTAAATTAATTTTCTAAACAAAGTTAAATTTATTAGCAACAACAAATTCTAAATGATTTTTCAAATCAAACAAAATGAGGAGGAGACAGTATTCACTGTTTAAGTGTAGAGTAGTATATCAGTGTTTAAACAAAACAAACCTAAAGGAAATTCATAATTTTTTTTTGTTGAAGATTATTTTAAAAAGTAGAAAATACTTTTCTTTTTTTAAACCAAATTTGTCACAAAAAGTGGCTGAACCTGGCATCACCCCATATCACTCCACAATATTCAAACTAGCACATGTTTGCATGGGACCACACTCATTTAAAGGGGTGGGTGTTCTTAAACTTTAACCTCTATTTTCTGAGTACAGTAGAATGATCTGCTTAAACCAGATGTTTGAATTGCTTTACAGTTGGAGGTCAAACCTGTCTTTGTTTACTATGAGGAAAAAGTCTATTCTACTCAAAATAGAATATTTATTGCCATATTAATTTTTATTGTTCACATCAAAAACTGTAAAAAGCAACCATAACTGGAAGTAGAATTTTTTTTAAATAACAAATTTCTTGAGGGTTGTGAAGTTAATTTACAGTTCTGTTTAATGAATTCTGGTAAAATTTTTGTTCACTTTATCACGTGAAAACTAATATTGTGACAATGGCATTTTTCCAGGGCAATGACAAAATTCACTTTAATGTGAGAATTCACTTTATCGGTGTTCATTTTAAGGGGAATCAACTATATAATTTTTTTATCATCACATTTCATATTTTGATGTTTAAGTAAATTTATTTTTCTAACTTGTTTTCACTTATTCCAAGATAAATGTCATTTAAGAACTTCTTAAATACAAATAGATATTTCATAGAAAGTATTATTTTATTCATAATTCATATGATGATGTATCCATTTTCATATTTAAATGAAAAAATGTTGCAGTGTGGTGACTGCTGAGTTGGAATAATTACACTTGACTACATATAAATGCTCTCTGATTCTAGTTTTTAATGTTCTTCCAGTCTCACCTATGTAATAATACACTGGTTGACAACTTTAAACAAAAATATAAACTGAATTATTGTTTAATATTGTTTGTTTTTCTTTTGATCAGTTCTTCAATTTTAAAAAAATTATTATTATTGTTTGAAGTAGGAGCTACTTTAAACAATAATAATAATTTTAATACAACAATGCAACTAGGCTAAGCTAATATATAACTAGTGTTCTGTATGAGAAGTTCTCTACAGCAATTTTGTGCTTGCTTCCAATGATTTTAAAAGAGAATAAGAAGCATTTGAGTATTATTTAATTAGCTAATTATATCCCAGATTTTTGACAAGTTTTGGCTTAAAATTGTCTTGGCAATTTGTTAAATATATGCACTAAGTGATTGAATGTAATATTTAAACAAAATTTTATCATGAGTTGTAAAGATTTTTTTGTTATTTAACAAAAAGATAACAATATTATACAATACAAAAAATAAACATATAAGAAATTGATTCTCAGCTTATCTCAATAGGGACACAGGTTGAGAAAAAGATAAATTATGTGGACAACAATAAGTCACTCTCTCAGCCATGTCAAGACAGCACAAAAAAAAAAGAATGCTGTTGGACAAGTGACAAACAAAATGTATTTTAATCTCTTTGAGTATTGTTGCCAATACTTGAAGATTGGAAATATAACAGAATCTGATAGCTAGTAAGTCACACTCCATTATTTCTATATTATTAGTAATTCCAAAACTAGCAATGTCCTGTTTTAAAACTTTACTAAATGACAGACTAACTTGTAATTCTATTGCTGTATATAATATGTAGTATAAATTTTATATCTTATTTTTATGGTTAAACTGCAATATTTGTTATAAATATAAATAATATAAAATGCAACACAACTTTATAATAAAACTCTGTTTTATTTTTTTTAAATAACAAATTTTTCAGAAATGAAGAAAACAAATTTAAAAGTGTGTGTGGGTTTGTGTATAAACACAAAAAATAACTGTTGGACTTGCTATGAAAAATTTTACATAGATATTAAGAACATATAAAAGCCCTGTGTAGGGATTTTGTTAGCCTTTTCAAATTGTAGTTTTTTTGCTAATGTTCTCTTGAAAACTGTAGCAAAATTTAAAATTTTGTAGCAAAACAAGTAATGTAAAAAAAATGCTTTCAACCAACATAACAAAAATTGTAGATTTTATTTTGATATCACCTAGTACAAAATTAGAAATGCTATAACTTACCCATAGTCATACTAAATTAACAATTGAATGTGTCAGTTTTTTTCCCATACAGTAAAGGCAGCATGAAAATCAAATTCTCTGAGATGGACTATTGATTGATATATTCATCAAATTGCTAACATTTATTATATCTAGTCTATTGCATATAGAGGTTTTAATGAGATTCATTTCACTAAAATCACTTTAGTGAAATGAATTTGTACTGCTGTTTGATATTAAAAGGTCTGCTTTTTACCATGACTGCCATGGATTCAGTCAGGTAAAGGGAAAACTAGATGGTGGAGATAAATCTGGGTTCCTCAAGACTGGCAGATTTGTGTCTTTAACACTTAGTCATCTAGCTGTCTATTTGAAAATCATTCAAAAAGTAAGTTACATTTCTCTCCCAAAGATGGCAGTATTGTACAACAAGAGCAAAGCTTGCACAGAAAAGAGTTGAGTTTCATGGCTTTCTACAGTGGCATTTTTGTTCAAGTAACAGCAAGAATTGCTGCATAGTATGAGAACAAAATGGTGTGTCAGCTGGAAACTTACTCCAACATTGAAGTATGCAGATTAATACATTTTCTGTGGGAAAAACATCTCCTGTGTATTGAGATTCATTGTGAAATATTGGCTATGTATGGGTCACATACAATGTCATGTCCAGCCATAGTGAAATGGTTGGCCAGCTAGTGTTGCCACCTTTTCAAAATTGCTGATCTGGACAGTATGCCAGGTTTGTTCAAACAGAAGTTCCTGACACATGAGCATTGTCATTTTACAATGCGAAGAATAACGTGCTAGATAACTTAGCCCGTAGACATGTATGATTGTAAATTCAAAAAGAAAAGGAAAAAAAAGGGTCAGCAGGTTGTGCGCCATATGTAAACAGACAAACATGGCAGAATTGCAGATGAGTTTCAGTGAATGTGAGTTCTTTCACTGTTAAAATAATGTAAATTTGTAAAAATATTTGCAAGAACTTTGTTTCATTGTAATTTCACAATTTCTACAAAATTCCTGAACAAAATTAATAGTTCACTCGGACAGTGAGTCAATTCCCGGATTGTCCTGGTGAAAACCAGACAGGTGATAACACTAGTGCCAGCAGTTCAAAGACAGCTCACAGACTTAACCAATGCAGAAAAGCAAGGAAGGCCAACAATACTGAGCACGACAGAAGTGGTGCAATGGGTGGAAGACATGACTCTCAACAATCACACAGTGACTGTTGCACAAATTGCACAAGAGTTCAGAATATTTGTTGGCAGTGCTCATTCCATTGTCTGTCTGGATTATTGCAAATTATGCTCACAATGGGTTACTCACTCATTGACTTCCAAACGTAAAGGTTTGTGGCTTCTCTGGACTTCCTTTAACATTATGCTTCAAAGGCAATGATTTCTTAAGCCACATCACTATATGAGATGAGACATGGGTGCATCATTTCATCCCAGAAAAAAAAGTGAGCGTCTATGGCATGGAGAACATCATCACCTGTGAGAACAAAATATAAAGTTGCCCCATCAGTGGGTAAGGTCATGGCCATGGTCAATGAGGCTGTAAGATTTAAGAACAACAACATTTATAAATACAGTAGAACAACTGGAGCTTATAAAACACCAGTTTTTAATGCTGGCTGGCTCTTAGCCTTTGGGAATATGGCTGCATCAGAGGAATGATGATGTTATGCTCATAGGTTTATGTTCTCTGTCAGGAAATTTGAGGCTATTATGTTTTTGCATGATAAGTTTAAAGGCATGTTAATTAAAACTTTTGCCACATATATAAAGAGATTGCTGCAATTAATTTTTCAGCATTATGCAAAGGATACCTGTATACTCTACAGTTCTGAAAGCTTTTCAGCTTATTTTCTGTAATAATAAATTTACTAATATAACCTATTAAAGCTCAGTAAAACTTCAGTATACAGCTGATCATAATAAATTACTATACTATACATCCACTTTCTCATTTTCCATATCATTGGAAAAAACATTAACTCAGATTTGTAAACTTGAACAACCTTCATCTTCTATTAATCAGAATTAGTGAGGATTTATTGTATAAAATTCTATGAGATGATAACAGTATATTATTATTGTTGCAATGAGAGTGAAGTCAATAGTTAGAGATAATTAATTTTGTTAATATCTTAGAATGTAAGATCTCTAATTGCAAAATTGCCATTTAATATCTAACAAAGAATTTCAAATTGGTTATAATGGTCAGACTGGACTCTGGTCACGTTCTGCTTGTCTAACTGACCTGATAAAAGACGTCCCTGAATCTCGCACCCACACACAGGTGTAACCTGATCAATCCCTGATTGGACCCCAGTCATTAAGTTTTCACATGTGCATAAACAACTGACCTAACAGTTTTTCCCCTTTTAAGGAAAAACTGACCTAATTGACAGTTTATGCAGAGATAGTTCTTTTGAGAAGGGTTGATTTGAAGCCATCCAGTCGGGATCTGAGAGTGTGCTGATCAATGCAGAGGCTGTGGGGCTAAATTTTTGGGTGGCATTTCTTTGACAGCAAATGGTCTCTCAAATGGGGGGGACTCATTATCCTGTTGGGTCAGTCTCTCAACCGGACGCTGTAATTCTGGAGTCGGAGTGGGACGTAGTGGGATGGAGAAGACTTTTCTGATGATGGAAAAGGGGTCATTCTCAGGCTGTGATCAAGAAGATTGTCTTCATATGAGTTGGTTGATGTGAAATCACCGAGTTGATCCATCAGATATTTCCACTTTGTATACAGTGTTTCTGGTTTTGCATTTGATTGTTCTCAGTTATTAATTTTGAGAGCGTTGATGTCGTGCAAAGACTAGCTCTTTAACTGCGAAATTTTGCTCTTGGACTCCATGCTTGCAGTTGAATTGCCTCTCCATTTTGATGTTGCACTCTGTTGGATATTTTGATGGCAACAATAGGTCGAGAGATGTTTGAACCTTGTATCTGAAGAAGAGTTTGACTGGTGATTTGCAGTCTGGCAGAACCGAATTTGGAGTTATTTGATAGGTCTCCAGAAATATGACCAAAGCATGTTGTATGTTTCCTTCCCCTTTTAACTTGAGGAGAGCTCACTTCAGCATGTTGATGAATCATTCTGCTTGCCCGTTGGATTGCGGATGGGAGGGTGGTGAAAAGATCTGCTTAATTCCTTGTTGGTCACAGAATCTTTTGAATTCGTATGAGCTGAACTGCATTCCATTATCACTGATGAGAACTTCTGGCAGTTTGTGATGGATAAGGAGTTTCTGCAGCACACTGATTGTTGCAAGAGATGTAGCTGGTGATTTCTGGATACTTGGAATAGGCATCCACCAAAATGAGAAAACTTTGGCCCTGGTAAGGTCCTGGTAGTTGATGTGGATACCCTTCCACAGGGTAGCAGATTTCGGTAAAGAGAATAGTTCAGAAGTTACTGATTATTTGGCTGCTGCGATATATGGAGAGCACTGTTGCATGGTTGACTTGATTCAATGTTGAGGTCCATATTTGGCCAATAAACATAGTTACAAGCTAGAGATTTCATGTACCAGATGCCAGGGTGTCCATGATATAGAAGTTTAAGTACCCTGTGTTGCAGTACTGTGGGGATGATAATGCATTCGTTGTAGAGGAGACATCCCTTTTTAATGCTGAGTCCATCACATCGATGGTATAATTGCTGGATTTAAGCCCAGTCAGAGGACACTCAAAGCTTGTTAACATTCGGCCACTTTGATATGTTATACTGCCTTTTTGTTTGAAGGAGTTGATCTTTCTCTGTTTGCTCACACAGTTTGTTGAAGGTTACTGGAAGTTGAGATGACATGGCTGTAAGGTCCATCTCGGCGTGGATGGTTGCCACGACCGTTTTTTCATCCCTTAATGGTTGAGTGGAGATGAGGCGTGACAAGGCATCAGCTTGTCTGAATTCAGTAGTTTTCCAATATTCGATCTTGAAGTTGTATCCAAGAAGAGTTGCTACTCAGCGCTGCAAACAGTTAGTGGTGTGTATCAGAATACCTTCCTTGTTGCTGAAGATGGCAAGGAGAGGTTTGTGGTCCATGAGAAGAGTGAAAGGTTGTCCATAAATCATCTTATGGAACTTGTGAAGAGAGAACTATGGAACAGCAAAGATGAGGGCAAGACCTTCTTTTTCGATTTGACTATATTTCTTCTCGGCTGAAGTGAGTGATCGAGAAGAATGAGTGATAGTCTTGATTGATCCATCAGGCAGATGGTGTTGGATGATGGCACCAAGCCCTAGGCTTGATGTGTCAGTTGCAACAATGATATAGATTGTTGGTTCATAGTGAGTGAGAAGTAAATCCGACTTGAGAATGCTCTTCATGTGCTGGAAGGCCTGTTGGTATTTGTTTGACCACTGCCACTTTTGGTCTTTCTGGAGTAATTTGTCTAGTGGTTGGCAAATTTGATGCATATTATGGAATAGTTTACCATACCGAGGAATGAGCGAAGTGTGGATAGGTCTGTCAGCAGAAGCATATCGATGATAGCTTTGACCTTAGAAGGGTTCAGGCAGTCTCCATCCTTATCGATGATGTAACCTAAGTATTTGATGGAATCCTTGAAGTATGCACACTTCTCCAGTCAGATTCGGAACCCATAGTTGTGGATGCGATGGAATGCTTTGTGGAGATATTGATGATGATCATCCACATTGCCACTAACAATGACTATATCATCTAGATATGCAAAGGCAAATGATAATCCCAAGACCATGGAGTCCATGATAGATTGGAAAATACTTGGAGCTGACTTCACTCCAAATAGAAGACATTGGAATTCATAGAATCTGTGGTGTGTTGCAATATTGCAGAGTTTCGTGGAAGTGTCCTCGAGTTCCATTTGCAAATAGGCGTCAGAAAAGTCTATTTGTGAGAATACTTGGCCACCGTTGAGCATGGAGAAAATATCTACTGGAAGTGATAAGGGGTGCTGATTGAGCTGGAGAGTGTTGTTGAGACTCATTGAGTAGTCCATGCACAGTCATGATGATCCTTTAGGTTTTGTAATTACTATGATGTGAGCAGTCCATTCAACATAGTCAACGGGTTTGACGACTCTTATGTTCAGCAGGCAGTATAATTTCTCTTCCACTTTTGGTTGTGAGGCATACAGAGCTGATCTGGCCTTGTGTTTGACAGGTGTGACATCTGGCTTCAACATTAATGAGGCTTTTGTTACCTTGCAGAGTCCAGTTCTTCCTCAAAAATTTCTGGAAAGTTGCATTGCAATGATTTGATGTCTTGAAGCTCATTGTTTAACTCCTGACAGATGCTTACATTATAGACTTTAGCAGCGAAAAATTGGAAAAGGTGCATAGTGTCAATCCTGAGGAGGTTGAGAGCTCTTTTCTTGGCTACATAGAACCGGTTCTTCTTTGCAGACATTGTGACAGAAAGAATGGTGGCAAAAGAATACTTCCATCATATCTGGCTTGTTCCGTACATGGCTGGAGTGTGGGTTGTCCAATGGCATCATAAGTCATTTTGTCAATAATGTTAATTTCAGAATCATTGTTGAGATAGAAGTTGACTGGGTGTCCATTAACCTCAATCCTGATTTTTAGCAGTCGGCAGGTATTTACAAAATTTTGGATAATTCCTACCCTGGCAGAGCACACTTGCTTTTTTCTTTTGTGGTTGTTGACATAATTTTTCCAAATGTCCTTTGCAATTGCACTTTTGGCATTTGTGCCTTATGTATGCACAGTCTTTGTACCAATGCCACTTGCCACATCACTTGCAAGTACTTGGTGGACAGTTTGCCTTCTTGGTCTTTTCTTCCTTGGGCGGAGTCTTGGTGTGGACATTATTAACAAGATGTTCAGTTTCTTCGTACAACTTATTTTCAGAATGCTTCACTATAAACTCTTCACAGTTATTCATCATATCATTGAATGTAACATTTTCTCCATCCGAGTTAAGCTTCTAGAGAATTTGAGTGTGTGGCTCTCATGGGCTTTTGACTTAATCCCTGGTCACACTATGCGATTTCTAGCCGCGCAGGCGACTGCATCTGCAACAAGCGCGAGTCTTCTCGTGGTCACACATTGTTCGCTGATGTTACAACTGGGAAACACGTGACCTTATAATAAACCAATAAAATTACAGTAGCTTGTTTTTGACTACTTTCGTGAGTTTGCCGATATTTTACGTTCTACTTCAGAGTATTTATGGAATTTTACCTACTTTTCTTATTAAAATAGCAAGCAGTTCCTTTTCTGGAATGAATAAAAGAAAAAAGGTGTTATTTTGATAGAGCTGGCGCGAATACATGAATAGATAAAATCTTCGATAAAACGAAGAATTAAAATCCCACAGGTATTCGTGAGCCTGAATAAGCTCGATCAATCTTGATTCTGTAAAAGTATTAATCCTCTAACTATCCGCCATGATGATGAACTATTTTCAATGTTGTCACTGTATGATGTGGCACAAAGGCGTTTGTTGATTGGATGCGCGTTTGCAATCGTCGTGAGTAGAACAAACTTTTTGTTTCTAGTTGCGGTTGCAGTTGCGCCGGTTTTCAAGGGAGGATTACTAGTTAACGGGAACAGCCGTCGCGGTTGCAGTCACTTGTGTGGCTGGAAATCGCATAGTGTGACCAGGGCTTTATGTCCAGTGAGAACGACGAGACAAAAGAACTGTTCTTCCATCTGAGCACTAAAGTTATATTGTTGTCGGGCTGCTCTCAGTTGGTTTGTGAAATGGCTGAAGTCTTCACCATCATCAATTGCAATATGCAGACAGTCATAGCTGTCTGCAAAGATCAAACATTTCTTGCTAAAAAGTTACTGGAGTCGTAAAATGGTTTCCTCAAAGTCCATAATATGCTTTGGCATATAGCATTTATTGTACTTGCTGAAGGCAGACACAGAAAGTTTAGTCATAAGAAACTTGACTTTTTCCTGGTTGGCCATCTTGGGTGCTGCGCAGTCCAGAGCAAACTTAAAATGACTTACCCACTTGTCGAATTTTGAGCTATCTTCTTCATCAGGTTGGAATTCCAGTAACTAAGGGAGTGTTCCTGAGGACAATGTTGACGATGAAGGTGATGAGGGAGGTTGTGTTGAAGAATGAATGTGTGTGATAAGTTCATATAAAGCCTCCTCTTGACGTCATGCAGCCTCCTGTTGTTCTGCGAGTAATGTTTTTTGGAGTGATTTCACAGATTCCAGGTCCATTGCTGTATCCTTAATCCTTGTCACCACCATTAGGATCTTTGAGTGTAAGATCTCTAATCACAAAATTCCTGTTTAATATCTAACAAAGAATTTCAAATTGACTGGTTATAATGGTCGGACTGGACTCTAGTCACGTCCTGCTTGTCTAACTGACCCAAACAAAAGACATTCTTGAATCTCGGACCACACATAGGTATAACCTTATCGATCCCCAATTGTTAGGCTTTTGCATGTGCAAAAAGAACCAATCCAACAAATGTGAATTAAATTGACTTTTGCACTGTTAAAGGGTTAAAACAGTTAATTAACTGTTTTAGTTGTAGCATAATTACAATAAATATTTTCCCTCTCAAAAACTTAATAAAGCATTATTTAAACACATTTTGAAATGAACCAGTTTCAAGATATTTGTGATTTTTCTCTTGTTCTTTTCATCGCTATAAATAGTGATGTATACTGAATGAATAAATCTTAGTGATCTTTTACATTTTCTTTTCCAACAAAATGGTTCAAAGACGGATAAATTATTTTCTAGAGCTTTCTCGTTTAATTCAAAAATTGTTGTTAAATTGAAATTGGTTAGATCTATTTTAAAAGTGGAAATAAAGTGATAAAATGATTAGTATTTTAATATAGTATAAAACAGTTTTTTACATATTAATTAAATTTATAGAATAATAATTTTTTTAATTTTTGTAGAATTTCAAGATAAAAATGTGTAATTGAATAAAAATTGAGAAAGAAGTCTTTAGGTGAGTATTTGATTATATTAAAAAGTTATTTAAGTATATATGTATATACAAACATATATTTCTGTTTTATGAGAGAATATTTGTAAATTTATATTTAAAAATTGATATTTTGTATCTGAAGGCAAATTCAGACATATGATTATAAAATAGATGCAAAATTTATTCCAAAAAAAAGAAAATATATTTTTTGTAAAAAATTTTGCAAATGCTTATATCTATAATTATATGAGTAAAATATGTTCTTTCAGTGAAAAAATATTATGTCAACAGTATTATAAAGATTATTTTTAGTAGGTTTCTGATATAATTATTTGATAATTGTCACATATCAACATTTTTATCATATGTAGTATTATTTGAAATGAAATTTTATGATATATATAAAATTTATCTTGTTTTGGGTATTTCAAACATTTTAACATATAAATTATTTTAAAACAAATTGGAATGAATTATAAATCATTAAAGTAAAGATTATAGTTATGATACATCTTTTTGTTTGTTTGCTGTTGTACTTGGAATAGTTTGCTACATGCAGAATCTTATATTATAGTCATTTTCTTCAAATAAATAATTGCAATACATTTTATGGAAATTTCCTTTTTTTTTTCCTATTGTTAGTGGATCTTCATACTTGACATTAATTTATCTAATGATATTACAAAACAGTAAGTTTGGATGATGATGGTTCTTTAATACTGTAACTAAATCTTAAAATATATTTCAAATTATTTGAAATGATAGATGTATGTTCACTAATTGAAATAAATCATGGAATTAATATTGATTAAAACAAAAATTTGTTCAGTTATATTTGAAGATTTTCTAAATTTTAACATAAAGTGACAAACAGTTGGATTGTTGGAAAGAGATTGTAATCTCAAAATGACCAGCTTGTTTTTTTTTTCCTTAGCATCATAAAGGTCTGCTTTAACTTGTATAAAAAGCTATCCATATCTGTATTAATTAATAACAACCCAAGCAAGTCAGGTGTTAAGAATTATCTATTTTATCCAGCAGGAAACAAAAATGAAAGATTTAATTAATGTATGTTGCTTTTTGTCACTGGAAGTCTGACCTTATTATTCTCAAGTGTTTTCTTCATTTTAATATATTCTTAAAAAGTTTTTAGATTGATTATATGTATTAGGTTGTTCGGAAAGTAAGTTCGTTTTTTTACCACTAGACGGATTAGTCGCATTTTTCCTGCCATTTTCATTCTAAACTGTATTATCATTATATATTTTGGCAGCTAGCATTTTAAGGCTTATTTGTAAAAAATTTTGTTTGATTTCGTACAATTGTTTATTTTTTGTGTCCCATCAAATATGGAAGATCGAAAGCATCATTTTCGGCATATTTTGCTTTTTTATTACCAAAAAATCAAAATGCTGTTCAAGCAAGAAAAAAATTGTGTGATGTGTATGGAGAAGATGTATTGACAGAACGACAGTGCCAAAACTGGTTTACAAAATTTCGTTCTGGCAATTTCAATATTGAAGATGCACCATGTTCTGGATGGCCAGTTGAAGCCCATAAAAACAAAATAAAGGTACTGATTGAAGCAAACTACTGAATAACAACACGTGAAATCACTAAGAGATCAAATTTGTCAAATTGAACTGTTTATGATTACATGAAACAAATTGGTTTCATTTCAAAGCTTGATATATGGGTTCCACATGTTCTTAAAGAGAGATGCTCTCTTTGGTGGGATTTTAAAGAAACTTTTTTTTTTTAGAGCTTTTACCAGATAATTTAACAATTGATTCAAAAGTGTACTGCCATTGAGTAAACAAATTGAGTAATACAGGGTGTGTTTACTTCTGAGTTAGCAGTGCTAATTCTGATAACCGGATGTGACGTCATTAGCACGTGTATTCGTGCTTGCTTGTCCAATTCGAAAATTAACACATACGCTAACAAGAAATATGGCTGGAAACCACCATATTTCTTGTTAGCGTATGTGTTCACTTTCGAATTGGACAAACAAGCACGAATACACGTACTAATGACGTCACATCCGGTTATCAGAATTAGCACTGCTAACTCAAAAGTAAACGCACCCATAGTAGAGCCTCGAAAACTCGGCACTCGATAACCCGGCACTCCGGATAACTCAGCCAGACCCTGGCAGGGCAAAAAAATCCTTTGTTAATTAATTTTCATTATAGACAGCTTTATGCCTCATAAAGTATTTTTCTGAGGTCTGTCTTATCAGGTAAATTACTGTACGCAGTGTATTCATTAATTTTCATTTTCATGTAGTAAAGGCTCTATGCCTTCATAAAGGACATANCGTATGTCCAGATGATTCTATCCCGACACCCCACAACTCATGTTCGTCGCATCGGTGCACTGCTGCTGCCAGTTGAATTCAATGTTGCCAGATAGAGATAGGTTTCCTGCGACATCAAATATATGGCCATTTTTAAGACATGGGAATTTTAAATCAAACACTGGACATTTTTATATTAATTTAGAGTATAAGATGCACCTGAATTTTGGAGGCAATTTTTCGAAGAAAAAAGTGTGTCTTATAGTCCGTAAAATACAGTAGTTACTTTAACTGTGGTTGTTAACACAATCTGTTAAAGGCACAATAAAGTGACTGATGCCATTTCTGTGACTATAGTAAGTGCAGAACTTACACCATCACTTCATGTTTTTACAGTCTGAAGTCAAAAAAATATTAGGATAAGTAATGTTATGAAATTGTTGTGCTGCTGTTATGAAGTCATAGATTTTCTTTGTCTTAAAGATCTGTTGAGTTAAACAAGTTAATTTTGTATATAAATAGAATTTCAATATCCATCAGGGCACAGAAGTTATGTAGTAGTAAAATAGTAATGTGCTTGGTTTATGTATTTACAAGTTAAGCAGTTATTCACTATGTTAGACTTGTTAAAATTTCAAAATTTTCAGAATATCATCAAAGAAAAAATGAAATATGGAAAAGCAAACACTTCATAACATTTTAATCTGTAGACTAGTGCCTCTCATGGACTGGAAGGAAACAACTTTTGAATTTGTTTGGAATGCTTTACTCAGGAATTTAATGCAGATGATGATGGTGGATGGATAGCGATGACTTAGACATGACAGGACAAAGCATTCCCATTATGTCAATTGAAGAACATTTTACAAACCCATGGAAGCGAAATAAATTGCTAGCAAACTAACAAAAATAAAATTTTGATTAATGCTATTGTTATGTAGTGTTTTATTTTGATATAAATGTAAATAGATCATTTTATATCCATTATGTAATTGATGCAACATATTTATATTGTAATAATGAAAAGCTTTATTGGGAGTGACAACCAATATGACATCATTTGCAAGAGGACTTTGTTGTAATGTCAGTGCTTCCCTTCCATGTCATTCAGTGGAAGAATGACACTGAATGACATGGAAGGGAAGGATTAAAAATTGTCTAATTTTAGTGTGACATCATTTATGGATGGCACCTATTGATTATGATAACAATAATTTAGGAAGATAATTAAGAGTTACTAGTTTTTTAAAATTATTATCAGCATGTAAATTAATTATTAATATTTAATAATATTTTTTTTAAATTTAAATTATATTTATTTTGTGATTTAATCATTAACTAATCAAATTTTGATTTCCTGAATTTTACTTGTCAATTTTGTCCTATTGTTAGTTCTATTATAATGCATTTTATATATTATCACCAACATTTTGTATATCCTTATTTATTCACTTCACATTAATTTGATAATTTGTATTTCTAATATGTAATATTAATGTAGCTGTTTAAAAGATTGTGGCCTGAAATATATATTTTATAGATTAAATAAATATCATCTTGGTCTAGTTGAAATATTTTGTCCAGTTACTTTCAATGCTACAAATATAGATCACCATTGAAAAGCATTATATTATACAAGGACTGTTTGACGTTATTTTCAGTAGTATACAGAAAAATTGTACTTTATTCTCATTCTTCAGAATAGGAACAATTTATTTTCATCAACTAATTTTAATTTAATATTAATATTTTAGAATTTTTAATCTTATAACCGTAATACAAAGCTGAATTATTGTATTAAATATTATTTTAATGACTTGCATTTTTCTTTGTCTTTATTCTAAATAATTGATGTTTCAAAACACAAAATTTACACTTGATTTAAACAGATAACACTTTTTATAATCCACAATCAAAGAAAATAATACAGTTCTCTATACATGATTAAGCAGATTCAATTCTACACAATATATTTTCACCTAGTTGTATTACGTACAAAGCTCTGTTTCCTATTCTAGCTGTTTCTTATTCCTTTTTTTTTTATACATTGAGTTTTCTGTGATTGATAACTATAGTGCATTTACTCTTCCAAGCATACATTAATATTTAATGGGTGGAAATTGCAAATCTAAGTTCTATAAATGATATTAATTCTATAATAGAATGTAACAGGATAAATAAGACAAACAGGAAAACAGCTATAGTTTAATACTGCATTAAATGCATAACCAAAATAATAAAATAAAAATTTAATACATGAATATTAACAACAAATATAACTTTTAGCTAAGAACAGTATTTAAAAGTAAATAGAAGTAATTTAAGAATTAATGAGTTCATTCTATTATTGATTATGAATTTATTACAATTTTAAGAAAAAGAATAGATGTTAAATGGCAATTATAATATTGCAATTTCTTCTAACATTCTTCTATTAACAACTAATTAATGAGTGCACAAAATTCTGATTAAATACATAAAAAATTCAACACGTTACTTGAATATAAACAATGCTACAGTGCTGAATATAATTTTTTATGTTGATGTATTAAACTTTAAAATTCATTTGTATACTGTTTAACTATCAAACAAATATAAACTTTTTAAATTATGCACAAATACTTTTATATGCAGTCAATCTATAAAAATATGTTCAAACAATAATAATTATGTAAAATTAAATATATTTATTCTATTTTTTTTTAACATTTAAAGATTTTACAAG